GCTGCTGCTGCTGCTGCTGCTGCTGCATGTCTCTGAGACAGCATCGCCTGCATACGGTCTCTCCCTAGGGGCCCCAGGGTCCTCCAGGGGGGCCCCCCGGGGGGCCCCCCAGTTGGGGTCCCCGGGGGGCCCCCCGGGGGGCGACCCTAGGGGCCCCCCTGGGGGCCCCCCGGGGGGCCCCAAAGGGTCGTCTAGGGTCTTATTGGGTTTTATTGCCTCTGGGCTGCAGCAGATGCCAGGGGGCCCCCTAGGGGGCCCCCAGGGGGGCCCCCTAAAGAGGAGCCCCCTTGGGGGGCCCCCCTTTGAAGGGGGCCCCTCTTTGGGTACAGTGGGGGCCCCCATGGCCCCCTGGGGTGGGGCCCCTCTGGGGGGCCCCTCTGCTCTTTTTGCTGCTGATCTAAGAGAGCCTTCTGAGCCTTATGATAGGCTGAGAAGACTTGTAAATATAAAGCAGCAAGAGGTAAACCCTAAACCCTAAACCCTAGATCGGGGCGTAGACGCTGTCTGTTTTGGTGTGCGCATCTTGGCAGCTTCGTTCTGCTGCTGCTGCTGCTGTTGCTGCTGCTGCAGGTGCAGCAGCTGCTGCAGCAGCACTCTTCGATGAACGACCCGCTGCAGCTGCGGCAGCACTATGTGTCTCACTGCCACAACGGGAAGCTAATTGAAAAGCTGCGGCCGAGGCCGCAGCAGCAGCAGCAGCAGCAGCAGCAGCAGTTGCTGCAGCAGCAGCTTGCTGCATGCAGGGACGCGAGCGGCAGGCAGCAGGAGCTGCTGCTGCAGCAGCAGCGGCAGCAGCAGCGTCTGCTGAAGCAACTTCAAGCCTTCGAGAACCCCCATCAGCAGCAGCTGCTGCAGCAGCAACAGCAGCAGCAGCAGCAGCAGCAGGGGAATGAGCTCTTCAAAGCTTTAAAATCCCAAGATCCCGATGAAGTGACCCTAAGTGTGGTTTGTGATATTAAAAGAAAATCAACTTTTCTAAAAAATCAAAACAGCAACAGATTGAGCTGCTGCAGCATCGAAGAGCTGCTGCTGCCCCTCGCCGCAGCAGGTCAGCCACAGCAGCAGCAGCAGCAGCAAAACGCACTTGTTTATTAAAAAACTAAAATAAATAAATACATAAATAAGTAAGTAAATAAATAATAAAGATTAATTTGAATAACAATAAACAGCTGGGAAGTAAAATGGGAAAAAAAGAGGAGAAAAATTTGCAAAAACTGCTGCTGCTGCTACCGCTGCTGCTGCTGCTGCTGCTGCTGCTGCTGCTGCAGGAGCCGACGTGTTTTTGATAAACACGGACCGCGAAGCTTGGGGAGGAAGTGTAGAAGATTTAAAAAAAGGAATTAAAAGAATTAAAATGGAATTTAATTTCCAAAAAAGACCAGCAGTTGTGATGAAGGACCTCATCATACACCCCATTCAGGCCAGCCGCGTGCTTCCTAGGGTTTAGGGTTTAGGGTTTAGGGTCTAGGGTCTAGGGTTTAGGGTTTGCAGGGCGTGCGGGCTTTCTAGGGTTTAGGGTTTAGGGCGTGGAGGCTGTCAGCGCGTAGGGTTTAGGGTTTAGGGTCTCAGGTGTACGTACACCTCATTGTGCGCGCCTTTTGCTTCTCCGTTTTTCTTTCTTCCTTTTATAACTAAATTCATTTTTTAATAAAAATAAAAATTAAATCTTTTATCTTTTTTATCTCTTATATATATTATTTATATTTATATTTATGCATTTTCCACTTACATTCACGTGCTCGAATTCTGCCTCTGCTGCTGCTGCTGCTGCTGCTGCTGTGCTTTCGCTGCTGCTGCTGCTGCTTTCGCTGCCGCTGCTGCTGCTGCTGCTGCTGCTTTCGCCGCTGCTGCTGCTGCTGCTGCTGCAGGTGGCGCAGGCTGCGGAGTTGGGGGCTGACGGAGTGTATTTGATTTATTCTCTTTTGGGATTGTCTTTGTCGGAGTTGCTGTTTGCTGCTGCTGTTGCTGGTCTTGATGCTGCTGTTGAAGTTGCAAGTGCTGCAGAGGCGCAGCAGGCCCTCGAAGCAGGAGCCACCATCCTCGTCGTAAACCCTAAACCCTAGACCCTAAACCCTAAACCCTAAACCCTAGGTCCTGATTTTACGCCGCGGAACCCTCGCCCCAGGGCTCCGCAGCAGCAGCAGCAGCTTACTGCTTTTGCTGCTGCAAGGAGACCTTTCTGCTGCTGCAGCAGCAGGACAGTTTCGCTGCTGCAGCACGACGGTTTTGCTGCTGCAGCAAAACACTTTCGCTGCTGCAGCGAGACAATTTAGCTGCTGCAGCAAGCCAATTTCGCTGCTGCAGCAAGACATTTTGCTGCTGCAGCAAGACATTTTGCTGCTGCAGCAAGACATTTTGCTGCTGCAGCAAGACATTTTGCTGCTGCAGCAAGACATGTTGCTGCTGCAGGCGAACCAAAGGGACCGTTTGACGGGCCTTTTTTATCCCTTTGGGGCTTTGGAGGTGAGAGCAGCAGCACCTGCTGAAGTGATTGTTGCTGCTAAAGGGGGCATTGCAGCAGCAGCAGCAACAGCAGCAGAAGCAGCAGCAGCAGCAGCAGCAACGGAGACCGCACAGCAACTCGCCAAGGGAGGCGTCGACGCAGTTGTGCTCGGAAGAGCTCTGCAGCAGGCAAGATATTTGCTGCTGCTGCTGCTGCTGCTTGTCGCTGCTGCTGCTGTGGTTTCTGCTGTTGCAACTGCTGCTGCTGCTGCTGCTGCTGGTTTCAACAAAGTTGCTTTGCTTTTATACTTTTCTTCTCTCAGTGCATCCTCTTATGTAATTAAAAATAAACAAATAAATAAATAGGTAAACAAATTAAAAAAATAAAAAAGGTAAACAAATAAATAAATAATAAATAACTATATATATATAATAAATAAGATATTCAAGAATGCATGAAAAAATAAATAAATAAAAAATAAAAAATAACAAAAAGCGGAAATGAATGACAAATAATAAGGTGAATAAATGAAAAAATAAATCTTTTTTAATTTGTCTATTTGCTGCCGCAGCAAAATGTCTTTGAAATAATTGAAGGCCTCAAAAAGATTCGCCCGGGGCCTCGTTCTCTGGTCCACTTATTTGCTGCAGCAGAAGCAGCAGCAGCAGCAGCAGCAAAGCAGCAGCAAGAAGAGACTCCCCACAAAAGAAGCAGCAAAACAAACCCAGGGGGCCCCTCACCGCAGCAGCTAGCAGCGCTCTCTGCTGTGCCCTCCGGGGGCCCCCCTGAGGGGCCCCCCGAAGGGGCCCCTGGGGGGCCCCCGGGGCCCCTTGAGGGCCCCCCTAGGGGGCCCCCAGGGGGCCCTCTAGGGGGGCCCCTAGGGCCCGAAGGCCTCCACATAGAGGCTCCCCCGCAGGGGTTCGCTGTTGCTGCTGCAGAGGATTCATACAGCAGCAGCAGCAGCAGCAGCAGCTCAGAAGCTGGGGGGAGGCCCTATGGGGGCCCCTCTGAGGGGCCCCCAGGTTTTGTGGGGTTTGAGGGGCCCCCAAAAAAGGAAACAGAAATGGAAGCGATTGAAAAGTCAATGACCACTAGAGTGCTGAGAGTTGCTGGAGTGGGAGGGGAGGCAGCAGCAGCAGCAGCAGCAGCGAGAACGGGAGCAGCAGCAGCAGGAACGGGAGCAGCAGCAGCAGGAACGGGAGCAGCAGCAGCAGGAGCGGGTCCAGCAGCAGCAGGAACAGCAGCAGCCGGGTCAGCCGCAGCAGCGCGAGAGGCCTCTCAGGGCCTCCGTGTCTTCCACTCAGACATTTTGAACAGCAGCAGCAGCAGCAGCAGCAGCAGCAGCAGCGAGTTGAGCGACACTGAGCTGACTGCACTTTGCAGAAGTTTGCTGCTGGCAGCAGCAGAAGACACAGAAGAAATGCCAGACCAGGGGGAGCCCCCACCCCCGCTGCCCCTGAGGGGCCCCCAGGGGCCCCCCTTGGGGGCCCCCCAGGGGCCTCCTTTGGGGGGCCCC